TAGTTGCTCCCAATCTCAATACCGGTATCATAGTAATACTGACGTTGAGAAGAGCTAATTTTAGCATCACATCCTGTCACTCTTTGTCTTGGCGACATTACGCGCATCTCCTTGCGCAACTGCCAAGCCCCGATCCCCGATAGTGGATACTGCGGGTTGTTACGGTAGGTGTCCAAGACCTTTGTTTCACTCAAAACAACTGGCTTCCCTGCTGCCTGGCTCTCTTTGCCCAGGTTGCGGTCGACAGCTTTATATGCTTATATAAGCAAGCATCACCCGCTCGGCAGTTCGGATAAGTGCATGTTTGCTTTTCCTTAGCTGTTGACCTACCGTACTCTACCACTCACCCAATCCTGTCATCACTGCAACCACTCCTTTCTTCGCCTACGCGAAAATTGCTTTCTCCATCGATTCGTGCTTTGACCTCAAGCAATGGCATCGACAGACCAAGATAAGGCCTCGTTTATCCAGCCCACCAATCGCTCGGCATGGCACGATACCCACATCTACGCTTCCCACGATCGCGACACCGTGCTCGGAGGTCTGTGGGTCGCACCGGGTATTACCAACACTAACCTCTATTCTATGGTGGAGATTTTCTGCACAATTACCGATACTTTCGACTTACAAGACGGCAGCCAACGACTCGTTCAGAGGGACGAGGAGTCACTTCGACCAGGAAATTACTACATATTTACAAAGGGCAGGCCCCCTTTATCCTTTGGTCATCGACTACCACTCACCCGCGATAGGTTCCATCACTGTCACCGATGAAGTCCCTCTACTTCGTACTCTTTCGTTGCACTCCGGGACCCGTGTCGAATCGTTTTTGACTCCGTACGTAACCGGGATCGGCGCTGCGTTATAACTGGAAGATCAGCAGTGATAAATGGTGTTACTTACTGGGAGCCATTCGAAGCTGCTCATGTGTTTCCTCTAGCATATGAGGAGCACTGGAGCCATTGTAATCTCGGCCATTGGATTACCGTTCCGCCTGCCTCTGCGTCGCATGGAACTATCAACTCCGTGCAGAATGGGATATTGCTCACCCGAGATATGCACGCACTGTTTGATTGCTATCAGATCTCAATTAATCCGGATGTACGCTTGTCCCGAGGTTAAAGAATTTGTGCTGTTCTTAACCAATACCTGTCTAGGATCACCACAAGATCGTCTGCTTCACGCCTCTTGCTAGCAGCTACGGAATCGCTGGCCGACGACTCGATCAATCGTTCCTCGATGACCCGCTTCGCCCGCATGATCATCTTCTCCGTTGGCACTTTTGCCAAGCAGTCCTCGTCAATATGAAGGGGGCTGGCGAGCCGTGTTTTGAGATCGATTTCCCTCCTGGTTCAGACGTGATGAGCCAGATTATGAGCGGTCCAAAAGCTGTTGAGAGGATGGAGTTTGAGTTTTTTGGCCGCTTGAATGCAAAGGGGGATCACGCTTGAGGTAAGGGTAGGCTGTTAATGTAATGTGACCTTGAGTACTACAGAACCTTGTACATTGAGGTTGAGCACCGATTTTCGTTTTAACTCGGCTTGCTTTTTTTGTTGTGGCATTCTGGCTGGTCAGTTAGGCAATATATATGATATACTTTACCCCTCCTCATTAGAATTTATTTGTTCGCAGGGCACTACTATGGCTGAATGAGACTGTTGTATCCGCCATCATGAAAGATCACTCAGGTGAAATAGCTTATGATATGGGGTCCAACATAGTCCGGTTGCATAGCTGAGTGAGACATGAATAATACCGCCAGTGATTATAATAAGGTATGGTAGATAGTAGAGAAAGATGTGCACTTAGTTTCTTGGCTTGCGTAGACATAATTTTTATGGAATGGCGACTCCAAAGCTAGTCGCATCACCTTATATCTCTGGTGGTATCATCATTAGCCATCACTCGTTGTCAAGTTTGAGCAGTGAATCCATATGTATTCGCAATAGATGCCACTATGACATCCAATAGCAGGCTCATCTTTGATTTTCCGGACTACCGCTTTTGGCTTTCGGTTAAACTCTTGGCATCACAGCTGGATACCTCTTCTCTATGGATCCCAGGAGGGGCCAGTAGGATGTGCGGGATATGCGGTTCGGCCCCTACAAATGTTTGCTGAGTTGGGTCTCGTGGGGGGAGAGCGGGGTCGGTTGTGTAGACCATGTGGGGGCTCAGCGAGGCATGGCATTTCTTGGCTAGCGAGAGCCGGTCTACTCGTACTCTGGTTAATAATTATCATAAATTTGTACTAGGTAAACCTATCCGGAATCCGCTACTCTGGGGTTTTTTGCTTAGCCAAGAAATGCCATGCCTCGCTGAGGGTGCTGCCTCGTTGACCCCTCACGGGATTTAATAGAGTACGGTAGTGGTGTTCAACCAAAGACTGACTCTCCGCCTCCCTATTCAGGTTTAGGGTGAAAGCTTGATTGCTCGAGTATAGTACCTTTTGGGCGGTTTCGGGGTTTCCGTGGTGTTAAAACCAACTACACCGCGAAACCTGTCTTTTTCTTTTTTATTTGTCTCGGAAGGCAGGATTTTGTCGTGTTTTTCGCCCCTTTTCTAGAGGAGGAAATTTCGGACCACATACAAGTAGCACACGGGCCAATTATTACTCGTACGGTGTTCTGCACCGATCAACCACAATAGCCTCTACTCAGCATCTATGATACTTGTATCCCCCCGGCCGTTGACACATTCCAGCCCCATTTTAAATGTTGAAACTAGCCTATTTGAGTAATTAGGAGCAAATACGAAGGTTGACAACCTGGTTTCCATCATGGCCATGCTGAGCAGTACAGCTTTAGCGCTATTCTGAGCGCTACACCACTTCTAAAGCACCGAGTTTTTCCTATCACGATTACTCAAATAGGCTAGTCTTCAACGTTTCAAATGGGGCTGGAATGCCTCAGCCGAGGGGATATGACGATCAATCATGTGCTTGGGGGTTGACAGTCGGGCGCACCACTATCGGTATTACTCGTAATTTTCTGACGTTTGCAAACACAACTGGGTCCCCATATGCCGCCAAGAGCCCTCGCGAACTCAAGTACTTTTGGGGTGTTTTTTTGGTGGGGAACCCTCAGGCAAGTGAACTCGCGGGTAACTTACTTAAACCTAGGTCAGTTTTTCAATTTTCTGAGTTGCTGCTGCTGGTGCCATTGGGCCATCTACAATATGCGGACCTAGTTGTGTTCACAAACCTCAGAAAATTACGGGTACTTGTACATTTGTATGGCCACGAGATCTGGTGAACTCGGGAGCTTTCCAAGCGGAGAACTAGCTTGTGTTACCGCGCCCGAAATACCTATTCCCCTGAGAACAAAGCAGAGTTTTTAGTGGGCGTGAAAGGCCCTCCCGACTGTGGAAAACTACCCTATCAGATAGGGTAGTTTGGCGGTCCCATGGTGGTTTTTTGCGTCCTCTCAGCAAACCAATTCCATCGCCACCTCACCTCGACTGAGCTTAGCTCTACGGTATCCTTGTTTTTCTCTCCCTATATCGGGTAAGTTACACCATATCTACTGGTATCGGGAGTCAATTTTACCCTCTCATTCGCCCGTTTTAACAGGGTACTTGTAACTCCGCTCAATGTCATACCGGTAAAAACTCGCACACTCGGTATGCAGCCAAGGCCATCGTGCAAGGATTGTGGCCAATTAGAGCGCGACAATGTGTGGCCCTGCATAGCTACTTTTTTTTACTAGTATTAGTCTACTGGTATCTACTGAAGAGGGACTTACTAATTCATGAGAAGTGAACGGTAGCCGACCATGTTCAGACCTGCCACCATGCTGGCATTCAGGCCCGCGGGCATCTACCGCTGCCACCCTCATGTCCTCTATGCATGCAGGGCGATCGGCACCGCTAAGGTAAGCTTAAGTGTCTACGGCCCCCGGTCGAAAAAATCGGGAAACGGAGATCGGGCTTCTGAGGGTTTGATTGGAGAGTTCAATGTGCTCGAGCCAATTGAGCGATCGTGTTTCTGACATTTAATTTCCACATTCCCCATTTTTATCATCGGAGGCTGTAATACTGTAGCCCACAAACTGTGCTAACCAGGCGACAATATTTGGCAGAAGAAGCAAACCAATCCTAAGCGTAAAACTGCACCTTCGGAGGTGATGATGGAAGAGGAAACTACTTCGGTGGGCTTAAAGTTCTAATGGCTCGCAAACTGCTCTAACGACTCGGGGGAAACAAAGTTGAACTCTTAAGGGAAAAAGAGAATATTGCTGCAGACTCCGAAACCGGTGGTACCGAGGAATTTGTTAGGATGAGCGTTATCGGAGTCGGGAACCAGAAGTTTGTCTTTGTTGTAGAGGCGAAGAAGGCCTCGATTGGACAGGCAAAGAAGCAATGCATGTTGGCCCTAAAAGACATGGGAGATAACTATGGTGGAGGTATCATGTTTGGTTTTGTCACGACGGGGGAACAGTGGCAAATGATCTGCTACGATTGCAAGGTTTTTACTCAGACAGATCGCTTTCAAGTATTGTACCATAGTATGGGACACAAGAAAGAGAAATGGATGAAGGAGGCCTCGATTATCGTGGATTGTATTCACACGGCGATTAGAAGTGGGGGATTTGTGGCCGCATGATTGGGAGTGGACGTCTGGTTGGGTTTTCTCATGGGGTTTGTTCGTGGTGGCTGGTTGTTGTTGCTCGGGGAGTGTTAGTGATTTTTGCTAAGCGGAGGGGTTGTATGGCCGACCGCAGGGCAGTACGCCAGCCGGCGACGCGGCGGGCGATGTGGCGAGTAAATGAGAGAGCAAATAAGGCCGCGTGAACCTAGGCAAATGGTGGCTTGTTCTTTCCTGTATGATAGTTGGGCATACCCTTCACCTCTCTTTCTCAATCAATCTCAGTCGTTTCAACACTTCCTAATACTGGCGGTTTTTTTAAAGCCTCCGGCACTTCTAACATGTGGCGTGATCAGATTTTGATACAATTTTTCCTAAAGGGTTTAATGAAATAGTTCCATGTTTCAGTAACTTTGGTCTATTCCTCTTGACCCCTGCCAGCCCTGCCACTCTGTTTATCTCCCTTGGCGCTGCAGATTTCATCTACACGAAGTTGAAGCCAAGTAGACTAGAGAAATTATTAGTAAAACGTGAATCCAAGTGCTTAGGTAAGTTTCTTTTCTCACCTCAATAGCTGTCTTGACGCTTTGCGGCATTACTGCCTCAGGCTCCCAGACACCATATTCCTTCATATCAACAATCTTACCGGTCCCGCCGTCAATGCCCCGGGCATGCTCCTTCGCGAGATGCTTCGTACGTAACTAGGTGAGTCCTCTGATTGGGCTAGCACATAAAGTTCGTGATCAGTGCTCTAGGAATGACTTCGAGGGCTTCTACAACTCCCTTGTATGGCCACTGCTGCATACCTTCGATAGATTCTGAGATCTCGGCAAGATGCACAGAGATATCCACCTCGACTGCGCCACCTTCAGAAGCTAACCAGCAGTAGAAAAAGCCATTGCGCGCTACAGCTACTGCGTCTTGCGGATTGCGTTTGATTTCGTAAAGGATAACCATAGAAGGACCACAGAGGAGGATAGTGCAAGCTTCAGGATCTTCACACTTTGTTATAGATGAAAAGTATCTGAGAGGGTCAACTATATTGCTTCCACAAGGTCTTCAAGTTTCACAAGGTAGGATAACATACTCATCACTAATCTTCTCAATCTCGAGGAGAACACCTTTTGTACTAACATTTTAGTCATTGATATCATCCACACGGTTCACAACTGTAGCACCGACAGCACGGGAGACCCTGTTGTTACCAGTCTTTCTGGCACGGCGGAGGGCTGTTACATTTCCCTCGTGGAGGTGGTGTGAGCAAGATCTTAAGTTATTCTGAACACCCGAAAGCTACAGTCAAGGTAACGGCAAAAGAGGAGCGAAAGACTTGGACAGCAACAATGTCAGAATAATGTAATAAGAAAAAAAGGGGCATAAAATGATGAGGAAGAAAGAACTATGGATTTATTTTATTGGTTAAGTGGGAGAAGGGAATGAGTAGCAGCTCCAAAGTAGTAAAGAAAGATTTTTGTATGAGGAAAAAAAGTAGATAGGGGGGTCAGTTTTACATGTCCGGAACCATATGTGCTTCCGTTGCCAGAACGGGGGCGCGGGAAAGAATCGAGTCATGTGAAGTGAAACCGATATGGCTCTTGCGATCCAGGGATCAGGATGCTGCGATTGCATAAGACCAATACAGAATATATAATGCGGGGTTCTGTAGTGTAGTTGGTCGTACTGTGCTTGGTGGTGACCATAAGTCGGGGGCTCTTCCGAAACGGGTAGGAGTTTTATATAGAAACTAAAGTAAATTAGGAAGGCAGAGTGATCTTTCAAATCTCGGTAATCTTTCATCTGATCCCGGGACCTCCGGTACAGGGTCCTAGTTTCCTGTTCTTCCTCCCCCATCCCCTCCCCAACTCCCTCCTTTCGTTTTCCTCCCGTCAAATACCTTTCCCAACTTTTCTTATAGAAGCAATACTCCCTCCACAACCAGAACCCTCTCACAACACCTCTAACATGAAATCGCACCTATTAGCTGTGCATATAAGCTAGTTTCTCACAAACAAAAAATGTTCCCAGGTACCTTCTTTACTTTCTCCCTCTTCTTCCTTGGAGTCCTCAGCAACGCCCACGTGCAGCTCCCCTCACCAATAACTCATGACCCAGTAATTGCTCACCTCTTCTTACAAATCTACTCCGTCACCGGCCTTGTTGCCCCCACGGACCCGGTCACACTCAACCTAACTCGCACCAAAATTCTCACCCTCCTCTCCACTGTTCTCCTCCCGTTAGAAGATACCGCTACCGCCCAGGCCCGACAACTCTACTGCGAAACCTCCCAGGACTCCCCTGAGTACATGGACGTTGTTTTGGCCATGTCGCAAATCTACCGCCGGGCGGGGCAAGTATGCTCCAGCAGGTCCGGCTGCGAAACAATGCAGCCGTGGGGAAGCACCGAGATCGGGATTTGCGGGCCATTCGGGTACTCTTGGGATTGCAAGGATGTGGGTGGGATGGCGTTTTGGATTGCTGCGAGGTGCTCGAGGGACATAGGGGTTATGAAGGTTGGGGGGAGGTATTTGTTTGATAGATGGTGGACCGGGTATCCGGCTGAAGTGAGGATTTATAGGAGTTAGGGGTGGATAGTTTTATTATATCAGTATTGGGGGGTAGTGGAGGAAAACAGTTGGTTTGGGAGGTTACTGAAAGAACGAAATTCCGCCTTGACGGAATTGGGGATCGGAAAGAAAAAAAGGTCACAAGAAAAAAAAAAGGAGCAAACAAATCCGATCGAGGTTGTGGGAGCACTGCCCTTTGGCTATCCACAGGTAAATCGAAGTCGGCAAACAAAAAAGTCAATCACGGTTCACTCCCGTGCGATTTTCGATAAGTTGATGACAGAGGTTCGTTTCTACCATACCTATGAAAGGGGGAGAGGGAGAAAATCCCTTATATACAGGAATAAAAGAAAAGTTTCTCCCCACAAAAAAACCTTCCACAAAACTAGTCATCCAGACAATACCCTATCAAACAAGCAGGAAAACCCACAAACCAGGTTTCTGCCTCCACATTACGGGGTTAATATTTTTGGATTTAAATGGGTTGATTTGTGAAAAGATTGACATTTTTTATTATTGCTTGCTGAGTAATCATAGAGTATCACTCGATAGATCAACCAGCCAGAATTTTCCCCGGCGGAACAGTCCACGCTTGTGGCACCCTGCCGGGAATGTAGTTTATCGCCGGTAAGTAGATATCTAACTACGGACAGCTTTCTTGCATCAGCTGCCTTGGTTTTTACGTGGTTGGTGGGGTATAGCAGAATCCGAAAATACTTTCCCCATGTTTGTTCCTACAGCTAACCCCATCACCCCCGATCATGTGGTAGGTGCTCACCGCTCCGCCTCTCACACCTTACTAGAGAGTCTGCCAGTTTGTTCATCCGGCTTTGTTAGTGTAATACAAGCATACAGCAGATGTATCTCAAGTTTTTCTCCTTCCTTTCCCCATTTGATCTCTGCTGCATGTGGGAGTTTTCCCACGTCCTTTGTAGCGCCCTGCAGGCTTTTTGCCCTAGTGGATATCCTCTTCGGGTGTTTTCTTGCGGTCAGTTGCGGATACACTGCTCTATCGCAAACTGTTCTATGGACATGGCTACAGGATAGATATATTGTACCTGTCAATGACGGAAGTTGTTCAGAAGGATAGTGGAGTGAGCTCAAGGCGGGTGATAGTATTCTGGCGGAAATGAAGTGCAGGAAGAGAGGGCAAGTTTCTAGATTGCAGGAGTGTTGGTTAGTTTCTTTGTTATGGGGAATTGCAGAGAATATTCTAATACCTTGTTGCGATGGAAGTTTGCGGAAAGGCTGAGACTAATGTGATGATCCGGACAATAACATTTGTATTTTTATTTTTATTCATTCTTTTCACGCTCGTTTTGAGGGGATCAAGAGACGTTCCTTGCGGAAGATTTTCTCATCTGAGGCCATCGTTACCCGCTGCTTGCGACATTACTTTTAAGAATACTTAATTAGAGAAAGTATCCTGTTGCTGCTTGCCCAAAGCCCATACATGGCATTTCTGGCAGTATGTATATCCACACAGCATAATAATTATTATGGCGTAAGGTAATCTACCATGCTAGATTCCATATTTCAATCACCAGTGCTCACTCGGCTTTACAAGACTTGATACCCTATTTGGACATGACAGGGAGATGTGAGGTCCAGAGTTATTCCTGCATCTCCTCTCTTTTTATTTGATTATGTTAGCATGACCAGTGAGGCTGGGTGATACCAGAGTGCGGGGCTACGAGACTGGACCGGCATCTCATGCAAAGAAGTGCTGGACTAGAGGAGCAAGGGGTCCGGGGGAGGGAGTTGGACATGGCAAGACAACCGCGCAAGGAGTTTTGGAAATGGTGTGATTTGGAGAGAAATCGAAAGTAGGGAAGCCGGCGGAGATGTTTTTGTTTGGTATATAATGGTGTCCATTTGCGCACAATTGTAGAGTGAGCGAGCGGCGAGAAAACGACGGGTCATTTTGTCCCCCGAGACTTGCGTTTTCTCCTATTTCTCGATGAAATTGTGGTTTTCAACCGAGTTCCCTGGGGTGTAAGCAATTTTCTTGGATGTGGCGTGGGTGTTTGTGGAAGCATACTTACCCATTTTCGGCCTCAGTCCTGTTGTTTCTCTCCTTGTAAAACTGGATATCTGCTATGACCGGTGATACTTCTGCTGGTTGGTCAATTCATTACTTTAAGTCACGTTCGGAACAATCTGCGTAGCCCATGACAGTATTTTTTTTATTTCTTAAAAAAAGAAAAAGACGTAACACTGTGAATCGCTATCAACAGCCATGGGTGAAAAAAAAGTACATCAAAAGACAAACAGAAATACCTAGGAATTACAAATGTCGAAACAAAAAAGCCTCCCAGAGAGTCCACAATTCTCAGGGGGGGCTTATGTAGTACACTCAAACGCCATGCCCATACCGCCAATCATCATCCCTCATTCGATGTAGGGGAGTGGGTTTGGGGACTAGCTTACTTACTGGAACCTGCCTCATCTCCCTCATTCACCGGATTTTCGGCAGTAGTGGTACGCAAAGCATCACCAGTGCGGCGCGGGGCAAACTCGACAACAACACTTATCTGACAGTTCCACTTTTGGCCAACTGTCATGCTGATGTCCTACTCCTGAAAGTCCATGATTGGAATGGGTTTTATTTTGACGGGAAACCGTCCTCATCCTTGCCTTCGAGATAAACAGTAATTTGAGAAATGCCGCTGTGCATATTGAAGACGTAACGGACCATTCTGGTGAAGTTTCTGAGGGTAGGGATCTCAGCTAGGTAGATCGGGCGACACTTGTATAGCGGGTATGTAATAACGTGAAAGCGATGTTGATTTTCCGAAAAGGGTTCTTGGCCAAGCTTGCCGTGGTCCTTTAAGTGGACCCCGTAAGCGACAGCATGGCTCCCATTGGGGAAAACGGTGACGCACCGGTAGGAGCTACAGTTTATGTCCGGGTCGGGAGAACATCCACGGTCGACGTATTTTGGCTTTCCGCTGGGCTGGATCGAGCCTGATGGCGGTGAACTAACGGGGTTGACGGCGCAGGGGAAGGGGAGGCGAATTCCCTAGGAATGTAGCACTCGGATGCATGAGCAATGAAACTTGTGGATCCAGACTGCCGTCTCGTGGGGATTGAAGTAATGTAGCCTGAGCTATCAAGGTTGTTGGCTCCTGGCCAGAGGCTGTCTTCGCGGAAATCACTATCGAAATCGTTGATTCCGGCCTTTTGTTTGCCTTTTTGCTTCAAGTTGGCCTCAGGCTCGTTGGTCTGGGGAATTTGTCTGTCGGCGCCCAGCGGTATCGCATCATGGGGGTCGGTATGAATGCTTGCCATAAAGCGAGAGGCACATTCGTAAGTAGCGGCTTCCTAGGCATCTCCAGAACTCTCGCCAATCTCCGAACTAGTAAAAGCCTTTTGACCCTTCATGGTTGGGGGGACAATGATGGCGGTCCTTTGGATGTTAACAGTGGAGAGGTGTCAATTTTAGATATAGGGAGAGGTAATAGCGTTCATTGGTTTTTAAAAAAAACTCCCTTGGGAGGGGGACTCGCAACCGACGAAGAGGGGCTTGCCCTATAGTCATGGTGGTGGACCTCGCCGGACCACCTGTGACTGTGCTGGCAGGGTGCGATACGGGACTTCTCCCCATCCTTCTCGTGCCACCACTTCCGTTTCCACCTCTGCTTGCATGATAGTTTCAGAGGCACTAATAGACGCACCACCACCCCTGGATCGAATTCTTTGACACAGATTGACAGCCCATACCCTCACCACGGGCACGGCAAGTCACCCTTTTACCTTCAGAACATCTGCGATTATGACTTTGGGTTTTTTTTTTCTTAAGAACTAACCCCTA